GCCCGAACGTAGGTAGCAAGGGGGTATTTATAACAGAAATCACATCCAGTTTGATAAGCAAACTTGTTATCTAGCGCAGAACAACAGAAAACTTCATTCTACACAGCTGCAAACTGTTCGTAACTAAAGGGTCTTTCACAGCTTAGTGATAAGTGCATATTTGTACAAGATACTTAAGCTGACTATGTTACAGGAGATGGTTAGGGAGGGAGTTTGTTTCAGCTTGCTGCCTTGACCAGAAACAGTTATTTATTGCTGAACAGACTTGAGCTGAGAGAGAGAGAGAGAATACATTTCTAGAGTACATAACAGGAAGCACAAGGTTTTTTTTTTTTTTAAATAATATCCCACAGATAAGGCACAAAATTCTGTTAACCCTTTACAGGTCTCTCTATGCGGTTCAGCCTGGGCTTGAGCTCACTTTCTAGCCCAGGATGGTCTCAAACTTGCCATGATCCTCCTGTCTCAGCCTCCTGAGTGCTGAGACTACAGGTGGGCATCACCACACCTGGCCCTGTCTGGCCTCTTTCCAGAACCCCAGTGTGGCTCTAGCTCGTTGTCACCAGCTGTCCAGACACTTAGTCCCCTTAGAACTTTCCTATTTTGGAGGTTAGAAATAATCTTAATACAGAGATAACAGGGAATTCTAGGGAAGAAAGATGGCTGCCTGGGACATGGAGGAATCAGGGAAGTCCTTGAAGTGCCATCTCCCCTGTGAAGCTTTGGGGGGGAGGGATCAGCCACCAGCAAGTGGAGTGCAGGCTGCAAAGGATCACGGGAACAGGGTGGGATCCAGCCTTGCTGCACTGTGTAGTTACCCACAAGTAGTAATTAGAGAGCCTCTGAGGCCAGCCACTGCTTTACAACTCAGCAACAGGACAAAGACCTTCTCTTTGAGAACCGGGCACCAAGAGAGGGGATGTGGGAAACACCCGAGTACATCTGGACCTTGCGGTCTCTGTGTCATGAGACAGGACCATCTCCCTGCAGGGTGCCCCAGTGCCCTGAGCAGTGTCCAGTCTGATTTGGGCGGTTCCCCTTTTTATTCCTAGAAGATCCCAGTTTAAACAATTAATTGCACTTTCATTTTCTCTTTAAGGATATTCCTGATCTGGCCTAGCGGGAAGCAACTGGCCTAATTTCAGATCCCAAATAGCCTTTGAAATACACTCTGTCTGATGAGCCAGTTGCCTGGAGTGTTGCCCTTTGCATTGGGGTTTGATTAGTGGGGGACAGGGGGAGATGAGAACCACATACATAGGTGGCAGACCAGTAAGTGTGGTGGCAAGAGAGGGCTTGGTCCTGTGGGCAGGTGGTAACCTAGGTCAGAGTGGGACAGGGTATCAGAAGAGTGGGCCCAAGGAGGGGGCTCCTCTGATTACCTCCATCTTTGCCCATATTTCCTAGCAATGGCTTCTTATCATGGATTCAACTTGGATGTGGAGAACCCCATAATCTTCCACGGGGACGCAGCTGGCTTTGGGTGGACCGTGGCTCAGTTTGGCAGATCTCGGTAGGCCCTACGATGTTACTTTCTTCCCTACCCTGATCCTACAGGTAGGGAGTGTTGTGGTGCTCAGAGAGGTGTCCTAGAAGAAAGGAAGCCTGGGTGACCTCTCTCCCAAGGCCCTGAGACCACCATCTGCTACTTCTGATTGCAAGAAGGGCCCTGAGATGCTGGTTCACACCCAGCCTTGGGAGGGAAGCCTTGACCCTGCCCAGCAGGTGGAGCTTCTCGAGTGACCAGCGTATTTGCACCCACCTTTGTTAAACTTGAAGTTTATGCTCTGCGCTTGGGCTCTTGAAATTCTTAATGATTATATTTTTGCATTTGTGCTTTGCTAGTACTAGATGTGCACTGGGGGGTGGAGGCCTTGGGTCACAGGCAGCCAGTCTCCCAGGGGAAGGCACTTTAGCTCCCAGCAATTGTGCCTGTCCTTGTCCCCAGGTGTCTTAATTACTTTTCTCATTGCTGAGGCAAAATACCCAACACCCAAAGTTAAGGAAGAAAAGCTGATTTGATTCACGGTTTGTCGAGGTTTCAGTCCACAGCTGGCTGGTTCTGAGGCAGGTTTTTCAGAGGAGAAATGGTTCAGGGAGGGCAGAATGCTCAGAGGCCCTTTTCTGCCCCCCTTTGTACTCTAGCTAGCTACTGGGGTTAGGGTGGCACCAAACCAATCAGTGGGCTAATGTGGTAATCACACATCCTTAATCCCACATCATATACTCTAGATTCATCCACATGTGGAAAAGCCCTACCTATGACCACAAGAGGCTGCGCAGTGGGGACATCTAGACACAAACCGTAACACCTGGCATGAACTAGGCAAGGCCAGGGTCGAGGGCTCTCATGCTATGCATATTTTGGAATATTACACTAGCTAGCAAAAACCATCAGGATGAGGGCCGGGGAGATAGCTCAGCAGACTAAGTGCCGGCTTAGGTAAGCACAAGGACCCAGGTTTGATTCCTGACACCACATGCCACGCCCATCCTGCCCCTGGGGTGTGCTGAGCTGGCGAACAAGTCCTGGCATACCTGTAATCCCAGCGCTAGGGAGGCTGAAAACAGGAGGATCACTGCGAGTCTGAGCTGCATAGTGAGACCCTGTACCAAATACATACCAAAAGGAAAAAAAAAAAAGATGGAGAGAAAGACTCACAATTTTTCTTGTGTCAGATATAAGGACTCAGAGGTCCAAATTATAATTTGATGCAAGTATAACCAAAGCATGGGACCCCGGAAGGGAGAGAGCAAACCTAGAGAACAATTCTAGTAGCCTCTGCTAAGGAGCTGAGCTGGGAGCACACTCCTACAGCTGGCCGACAAGGAGCTGGAGAGGCCACTGAATGGGACATGCATAACCTGTCCCTGCTGTGGCCAGCTGGTGGGCTGGGGAGACAGAAGCAAGCGCAGCATCAGGATTTGGGCTTTTCTTTGTTTTGCAACCTGGCATGCAGACTGAAGGGTTTCACTCGGTGATATTCTTATATGTGTGTATCCTTGGCAACTTTGACCTAGATAAGGGCCTAGGTCAGCTCCTATACCTGCTCACCTCCTGGCCACTTGAAACCAAACAAATCCAAAGGTAACCACTGTTTCCATTTCCATCCCCATCACGCAATTTCCGCAACTCAATTTCCTATTGGGCACCATTAAAAAAAGTGAATGAGAAGCCATTTCTTGGCTACTGTTACTAGTATTTACATTAGAGGGCACACACACAAAAGGTGATCAAGAATGGTGTGTGTTTAAATTTTAAAAATTATTCCAGAAAAAGATGCTGTTGGAAGGGCCAACCAAATAGCTCAGCAGATTAAAGTGCCTGCAAGCAGGCCCAGGGGCTGGGGGTTCGATCCCCGGCCCTGCCCCCCGGACGTGCTGAGACAGCGATTGAGACTGGATGTGGTGGCGCATGCCTGTAATCCCAGCTCTTGGGAGACTGTAAACAGGCAGATCACTATGAGTCCAATCTAGTAGTGAGAGCCTGAACACCCTATAGGCCCTTCCCTAAAATATATATATATATATATATATATATATATATATATATAGACGCCGTTGGTCTCCCTCAAAATATTTTCACTCAGTTTGATCACACATGTCACCTCACTCTTGCCACTTTCCAAAGCAGCTCTGGAATTCCTGTTCAGTGAGTGTCTTCACAAGATATGATCAAAAACACACTGAATGTTGCTGCCCTCCCTTGGAAAGGCAACTTGTGGAGACACTGGCGTTGTCCTCACCCACTTCCTTCATGGAATCTGGTACTGAGGTTCCTCTGGCTCATTCAAAAGTCAGAATGACAGGAAGGTAAAGGTTTTGCATTGGTTCGGGACACCCAAGCAGCCACAGCGCAATTAAAGACACTCGAGCTTGGTACCACTCTGCCCACTGCTAAGTTCTTATTTTTGTTGAACCAAAAACCAAATACCGAAAAGGTTGTGCAGCATAATGAGAGAGCAGCGTGATGACTGGCGGGCACTTGACCAGCATGCCAGCAGGCCCCAAGCAGCTAGCGCCCTGGCCCTCTGTTCTGGTTTTCATCAGCAAATTCAGATTCCACGCACAGAGGCGACAGCTTCCTGTAAAGGGAGTGGCTGACTGAAAGACGCCTTTGTGTCCTCTCAGCTAAGCCTGGCCCAGCGACTGAACACACAGCAGCAGGCTCTGGTTTCCTCATCTGGGCGAGGAGGTTGGTGGTGGCGATCAAATATTTCCAACATTAAACAAGATTTTTTTTTTACCTCAGGGAGTTTTACAAATAAATGATTTCTGTGTATAAGGTGATAAATATACATAGGGTTTTGGATGCAGCTGCTTTATATTGTTCATCCAATTTAAATTATTTACATGACATTTAAATTTGTCCAATTATTTAAAGATCAGCCATCTGTTGAGAAAGCTGAGGCTTCAGGAATTGTGCTGTTTAACCTGAGGTGGTTCCACACGCGGACTCAGGATCACAATGCGCTTAGCATGATGGGGAGATGCCACACGTCTTACACCTTTAATTTAACAAATATTCATTGACCATCCCATACATAAGGGTCATGATATATAAGGCAATCAGTAGCGACTTGTGCTAATTCACAAAGAATTGTAGTGAGGGAGAGACTTACTTGGGGATTCTTCTGCCATTTTTGTTTTTTAAACAGTCTTGTTGGGAGGTAAATGCTTACAAATGTAAAGGGTATGTGTACTCCAACACACACACACACACACGCACACGCACACGCACACGCACACGCACACCGAAGAGCAGATCTGTGTGGACCCCAGTGCAGTCCTCAAGGATAAGCGGCTTACACTCAGGCCTGAGTTCTGAACAGCTTCTCTGGCTCCAGATGCCGAGAGTGTCCCTCACCAAGTTGCATTTTCCACCCCAAGATATTTCCTTGGCCCCAAGCACCCCCTTCCTACCTCCACCCTGTTTGTGTGTGTGCTCTGCCTCCAGGCTGGTGGTGGGAGCGCCCCAAGAGGTCACGGCAGCCAACCAAACGGGCCGGCTGTACAGCTGCTTGCCTGCAGCCAGCTCGTGCCACCCCATCTCCTTGCACAGTGAGTGACTCAGCCGGGTGCTGGGACCCCCACCTCTCCTCGCTTGACCCAAGCGTGCCCCCTCAAAGGTCTCCAGCCCCAGCTCTCCCCATGAGGGTGTGTTGCTGAGTGTGATCGAGGGTGTCTGCCCTCTCAGTGCCCCTAGAAGCTGTGAACATGTCCCTGGGTCTGTCCCTGGCCACCTCCACTAACCACTCCTGGCTCTTGGTGAGTTACCTGGGACACCACACAGGGAGGAGGAGGTAAGGAGGCCCTCCTGGAACCTTGCTCACGGGTCTCTACCCTCAGGCCTGCGGGCCAACTGTGCACAGAGCCTGTGGGGAGAACATGTACGCAAAGGGCTCCTGCCTCCTGTTGAACTCCCACCTACAGGCCATCCGGACAGTCCCTGCGGCCCTGACAGGTGAGTGCCTTAGAGGTGCTGAATGGGCAGGGCATGACCTCCCCGTGGGTCCCTCTCCTGGAGGCCTGAGTGTGGCTAAGTGGAGCCTGAAGAGCCCAAGAGGGGGATGGGAGGGAGCTCGGCCTGGCTGGAGGAGAGAAGCCCTCAGGGCCAAGGTCCTGGTGGGAACAGAGGGCCCTGCTTAGGCCAGAGAGGGTGTAAGGGTCTGGCAGCTGCCACAGGTACACAGACGCATCCTGAGCTTCAGCAGAAAGACCCAAGAAGCCTGGAGGTGGAGGGGGATTGGGGTAAGGGGCCTGTGGGGAAGGCGGCTGTTCTCCATGGTTCCCTGCTGACAGCAGGATCTCCATGCTAAGCCTTCTCCCCGAAGGGGAGCAAGTGGTAGAGCTATGGAAAGTGCAAAGTTCCAGGTTCCAGCCAGGTCTGGGTCTTTCAGCGAGAGAGGGGCCTGAGGCATCTGTCTGCGAGTCAGTCTGTGCCACGGTGGGGCCCAACTTTGAGAATTTTTTGGTGTCATGACAACAGCTTCATTTTCTGGGCTTCTGTTTCCTCATTAGTAAAATGAAGCTTAATCACCATGCTAGTTATAAAACTTCAAGGATCTGGTGTGCATGAAGCGTAGATTCCCGCTTACACAGAACATGCCACAGCTCTTGACACCCTTCTGCTGTGCGCTTGGTCTGACTGGAAGTGCGCAGGAGCCAGCCTAAGGGGACAGCTGGGGCCTCTGGGATGTGGCTGAGAACAATGCTTTAGACCACAGGCCCCATGAAGCCTGGAGAAACACTCTCAGACCGAAGTGTGAGGGCCAACTTTATACAGAGAACAGAGAGAATGGAAGAGGTGGAGGTGTGAGAGCCTAGGGTCCTTCTGAGGCAGGAGGCCTGGTAAAAGGAAACACAGGAGCATAAACCTGGGGGCAGGCAAGGCAGGTGTTGGTGGAAATGGGGAGGGCTGGAGTCCACTGAGCATGGTGCCACGAAGCACTGTGGGCCTGGTGACCACTGCCTTCCTGCATCCTCACAAGACCTCTGGGTGGTGGACAAGATGGTGTCCATGTAAAGATAAGAAAATTGCAATTCAGAGCAATGAGCTTCCACGGACCGGTAGAGCTGAGAGTTTGAGGTGGCCTTGCTCTGCTACCTTAGTCCTTTTAGCAATGTGTTCAGCTCCATCCGGGCACCTCTGGCAGCCCAGTGGAGAGCACAGAAGGAGCTTGTGAGAAATATTGTGGGCAGTGGAGGAGGATGGTGGGATTCTATAGCATAGCTGAAAAAGTGGGCACAGGGGCATGGCGTCAGCTGCCCAGGCAGCACCTGAGAGATTTCAGCCTACCATGCAGGGAGCTGGATTTTCTAGTCACTGAGGAAGCAGGAAGGGAAGTGGCCGTGTGTGGCGGGGAGAGGAGAAGGCCTTCGCTCTGCTCAGGCGGTGGGAGGTGAGTCACCACAGCTTGGTGGTGTGGTCACACCTCAGTGCTGCGGTGGCCTGCGCTCCCAGCACCAGAGCAGCACAGGATGTGGGGCTGGCGGAGTCCCAGCTGGGCCCTGCATGCCGGCCAAGAGCCCTGCAGGAGCGGGGGGTACTCTGCAATGGATTTATTTTCTTTTGCTATAGTGTGTCTTTCTCACAATAGTGTGAACTCCAAAGACAAAAACGATAAGAAGAGATGGTACCTTTTTATTTTTATTTTTAAAGCTATGGGCTTAAGGTCAGATTTCCCCAGAAACAGATGCTGAGGTTCATAGGGGAATGTTCTCGGGAGCAGGGCCAGGTTGGACGCGAGGGAGCAGGCCTGGGCCAGGACAAGCTGGACAGTGGTGCAGTTCCAGCGCAGGCCTTAGCAGACCCTGCAGACCTTGGCAATGGGTAGCTCCTGGGCATAGGAGGGCGGAACCCTTGCAGAGCAGCTTCCTTCTGCCTAGGCTGAGTCCTGGGGGCAGACTTTGCAGAAAGCCATTGGCAGCCAGCTCCACACTTGGGAATGAAGGTGAGGAGGGCCTCAGTCTTGAAAGGAGTGGGCTGTTGTCATCCCCCGCAGGCGTGTCCTGCACGCCCGGAAATGGCTGGCCTGGGTGGTGATGCTCATCTAACTAACACTTACAGAGAGCCAGGCCTTCTCTCCAGCATCTTCTGTCATGCTAGTAGTTACGTCCTTTCAGTAACCCAGTGTGGGAGGCACTAGTATCACCCCATTTTACAGAGTGCAAATTGAAGCCCAGAGAAATTAAGCAACTTGCTTGGAGTTGCCAACTAGAGTAAGCGGCCGATCTGGGCCCCAAGGCCACGCACTATGGCTCCAGAAAGCGTGCTCCGAAGTGTTCCGCTTACCTGCCTCCCTTTCGGCTCCTTAGCAGCTCCAGAATACATGTTTCCTGAGGATTTGCTGACTGAATGATGGCATAGTCCACCTGGCTCTGGCTTCTTTGTCACTCGCCCCAGGCCATGCGGGAGGAGGGGAGCAGCTAGGACTCCACTGAGGGCAGAAGAGGGGCGGGCAATGCACCCGGATCTCTCCTGTGGGTTGCAAGGCCAGGACTGGCCCTGTGCCCGCTGAGCAGGAAGGGGTTCAGCCACCTCTGGGCATCACGCTCGGCTCTCTGATTCCTCCCTGCCCACAGAGTGTCCAAATCAAGAGATGGACATTGCCTTTCTGATTGATGGCTCTGGCAGCATTGAACAAAGTGAATTTAACCAGATGAAGGGTTTTGTCAAAGCTGTGATGGACCAGTTCAAGGACACCAACACCCTGGTGAGTGCCGGGCGGAGGCCTGGGGAGGGGAGCTGAGTGCAGCTGCGCTGGGCTGAAGCCCAGGTCCAGGGTCAAGTCCCTGGCCTAGGAGGTTCGCTCCTCTGCTTTCCCCATTCTGTTTAAAACACTGGAAGGATTTTAAAATAATTTTAGGGGTTGGGAAATAGCTCAGTGGTAGTGTTCTGGCCTGGCATGTCCAAGGCCCCCTAAGTTCAATACTGATAAGTATTTTCTCCAAAATCAGAAGTTCACTGAAAGTCACCACCAGCGTGACACATCCTGAGTGCCAGGGCCTCCTCTCTGGTCTTTGCAGTTCTCCCTGATGCAGTACTCAAACCTCCTGAAGATCCACTTCACCTTCACCCAATTCCAGACCAACCCAAGCCCCGAGAGCCTGGTGATGCCCATCGTACAGCTGAAGGGCCTGACGTACACAGCCACCGGCATCCAGAGAGTGGTGTAAGTTCCCTTCTTGCTGTCCCTCGGAGGTGGCTGCCACCCACTTCCTAATGCTGAGTCAGAGCAGCTCTTCTGAGAGGAGGTGGGAGGCTCTGGAGAAAGGGGCTAAGGTGGGGTATGAGGGCTACCGGAAGAGTCCCCTGGAATGCTCCCCGCCCCTCGGTGCCAGCTTCCCCTGGTGCAGGAGTAGCCTGCTCCGTGGCTGTGTTTCTCCTTTGCCCAGATCTGGAGGGGTAAGACCCTAGTGGCCAGCTGTGGCCTGGGCTTTGTTTGATTCAGATACATCTCAGCTCCCATCCTAGTCTCTGCTGCTTACTTGAGTAATCCCAGAAGTTAATGATTTTAAACAATTCGCAGTGAACTTTCAGAGAAGGGTACACACACAGCTTGCTTGTGAGAATTAAATGAGATCCTGTGTGTGAGGTGCTCTGACCAGGACGTACGGGAGGCACCAGATCAATGACTGAGGGCTTAACCCAGAGAACGGCGCAGCCCCTCTACTTCCCAGGCAGGGACTCAGGAATTCCTACCAAGTGTCTTGTGCCTCTCTCCCCACGCAGCGTCCTCCATCCTGCCCTCCTTATGTGCACATCTACTTTGTCAGCTGGGTGCTTGCTCTGCGCCCTCACAGCACCAGGACCAGGCAGATAGGGGCTTCCACTATGGGGTCAAAGAGAAGATGTGAACCCGGGCTGAATGTCCAGGACCCCTGTTTTCCTGCACTCCCCAGAGAGCTGGGGTTGACATGTGGGGGGGTTCATCTCTAGTAAGAAATGCTCAGAGGCACTGCGCCCTCATTTCCTTGGGGTGGCTCTTCTGCTGCAGACACTGGCCTCTGTGGATTGGACAGCCATAGGCAAACCTCTGTCCTGGGAGTTCAGTCACACAGGTGCCTCCCCCTTTCCTTGTCCAGTAAAGTTCTCCCGGTGGTAGATTCTGGAAGAAGATGTGAAACAGGGGCAATAGTGAGGTTCTTACAAATGGGGCCTTACAAGAGCCCTGCCCTTATCCCAGAACGCACTGCACCTTCCAGCAGCCTCCCTGCTCCCCAGAGCCAAGCCCGTCTTGGAATTAATTTAGTCATAGATTTTTCTTTCCTCACTCCTTTCTTTCTTTCTTTTTTCTTTTTTTTTTTTTTGTTGCAGAACTGGGGATTGAACTCAGTTCAATTGCCAGGCAAGCACTTATTCTACT